ATTTGCGACAATTTTTTCTTCTCCCATGTGCAATTTAATGTAAATTTTTTTTAAATTTAATAAATTATAGTAAAACGGCCAAACCTGTCCAAGAAATAGCTAAAGATTCGATGGGGACATGAACCTGTGTGTCCTTGAACCTGAGAGCTCTACGATTCAGTTGTTAATCGCTCAATTATCTTATCACCGCCTGATCGTTTCCTTTCTGCATTTCTTGTTAAGGGTGTAAACTCTCATTTGTCAGTCTCTCAGTCTTTATTAACCCCTGAATTGTCTTATTATTAAAGATAGTTTAATAAAATAATCAGCTTGAACAAAATTGAGGAATTTTTAATTTATTTTTAGACACTGTTAGCCAACCTTTTGTCAACAAAGTATAATGTGGTTAGTTTTTACTGATTTTTGATTAAAAGAAAGCCAAAACTTAATAAGTATTTTAATAAGAATTTTGCATTCTGAATCTAAAAAAGGACTACCTAAATCTATAAAAATTTATCGAATTTGGCCGGCAAAATTAAATTTGGACTATATTTTATTTTCCATTACAGGATATGCTGGTTTACACTAGAAATGGGGGAGAAACGGTAGAATCTGAAAATTTTCGTGTTATTCATGTTCAAATAAATGAAGCAATATTGGAAGAATTTGAAGGGGGTGTTGACGAATATAAAGAAAGTTTTACATATTTTTCTATAGGAATATATAAAGGTAAAATATAAGTACAAAAATTAAATTGACAATATCGCTTTTGATTTTCTCTCCAAATATTTCGTTTTGATTTCTTCTCCAAATCTACCGTATCATTATAATCCTTCGATATCTTTCCAAATCCCCGATATATCCCAAATCGGGTGATATCTCCAGATTTGGGGTAATATATCGGGTGATATTTCCAACCTATATCAACCGAATCCCTCAAATCTCTGAAAAATTAATGATACCCTCTCAATCACTTCTACATAATTCCATCATATTAATTCTGTCATACCTAAATTGTTTTCATCAGCGCCGCAGGCGCCCCCATAACTAGTCCCATACGTTGGCACTATAACTGAAGTCGATTATAACGAAGAAATAACTTTAAAAATATATTATTCCATATTACTAAAGAAATAATTACAAATGAAAATGGCATATTTGATTGGCTTCAACAAAAGAAATATGATATTGGAATTGCCGAATTCAATGTAATGGCTGGTTCTTTCGCTGTGTTTGAAGCATTAAGGATTGGGGAAACAATTGATGTTTCCAATTCTGTATTCCTTCCGGAATATCTTCAATTCCTTGGAATTGATGTTTTGGACTTTGAAGTTCCTGGTAATGATTTATTAAATTTAGTTTAATAAGAGATATTTGCCCGGAGCCGATTTGATCCGGTGCCGTAACCGAATCCAATTTGAATTCCGGTTCCCGGAACCGGAAATTTTCCGGGACCGGAACATTCGGTAAAGCTCTAATCTCTCTTCATCCATTTATTGTAACGAGATAGCATTCAGAACTTCATTTGAAACATTCAAAGCTTCATTTGGATCAAAAATTGCTGCATTCCTTAAGCTAGAAATCTCCTCTTTTTGCAGGATTTTAGACAAAAAAATTATTTATATGAACCGGTTTCGGAACTCAGTTCCAAAGCGGTTCCAAGCATCGGTTCCAGTTCCGGAACTGGAACCCCCGCATCATAGATTATAACTGAATCTGGTACTCATATTAAATACTTTATTTTTTGTTAAGAATACAAATCTGCCAAACCTGGAGATTGGCAAAATGGAATTTGGCAAAAAAAACAGAGAGGAGAATAGAGAGGAACACGAGGGTAGTAACAACCGCATACAATATACCTTCACTGAAACTTCTAAAAAGCTCTACAATAAATTGTTTAACGATTATGGAATATCCATCAAAAAGCCATCAACTTTGGATATTTTATTTAAAAAAATTAAATATCATTTTATAAATCAACATCCTTTAATTAAATTTAGCAATTTCCCCGAGCACAGTAAATTTTTTTTATTGGTGGTATTCTTGTTGAAGATCACCAACTTTTAACTGGAGGAAAACAAATGGTAGAAAATGAGGTTGGAAAGCTATTTTATGCCTATTTTCATAAAATACCTATATTTGTAAATATATCTAATACCAGTAAAAGATAGACGCACCCTAAACTTTTTCTAGAAATTTTTTAAATATAAGGTGTGTAAATAAATTATAAATGGCCCCTAATTTTTCGTGTTTTCCATGACTTTTAATATGTTGATTCTTTGCTTAGACATGTCTATCAAAATTTCTTTTCAAAAATTATCGAAAATTTTTTATAATACCAGTCCGGAAATTTATTGGCCATAACTTGCCAATGGATTTTTTCTGAAAACTAAGACAATTGCAATCTTGCGCACCTTTCAAGTTGAAAATCAAAATTAAAATTAATCAAATAAGGTCGAAAATATTTTAAAAGACCTACAGCTGTTTTAGGATGATCTCGATTTTGAGTAAAGATTTTGAGTAAAGCACAATAGAAATACCATGTTCTGTCTAACTTCAGTCTTATATTTATAAAAAATTTTCTATAAAAAATCCGAGGGGCGTCTATCATAAGACACATTTTTAAGTCTGCCTGTGTTGTTCTTGTCACATTTGGAATGGTTAAATCTACAATGTTGCCAATCAACAAAATGATTAGACAAGTATTTTCACAATTTTCTCAGTGTTATTTTTATGTTCGAGCAAATAAGCGTTCAGAATTCGACAATGTACATACCAGTAAAAAGCCTCTTCCGCAAAAAGAGATTTTATGTAAATAATTATTTAAATATTATTAATTTATTTTTATTTTTAGCTAAAATAAATACAAAAGTATTTATTACACATTGTGGACAAAATAGTGTTAATGAGGTATTTCATAAATAGAATGAATTAAAAAAATAATAGGAAAAATAGGGAAAATATAACTAATCCGTTCAAAAATCTCGAGATGTCTAAATGGAGTTCGAAAGTGATTGATCTCCAAGTCCATTCTCTATATGAACCAGAACAAATGACACTTTAAAAATTCACCATAGAAACTGAATTAAAGACACTAGTTGATAGAAGATCCATGACAGGATTGCTTTTGAAAACGAGCATATTTGCTATCCGCTCAAACGCATAATACGGACACTATCTTTATCAACTATTTTAGAAGCATTATAAGGATCCTTATAAGACTCTTAAAAGGAGCCCTATTTTAGGAGCTTTTAGAAGCCTCCTCTAAAATAAGCTCTTCTAGAGGTCGATCTAAAAAATAAGCCACGGGGCTGATCTTAGAGGAGATCCATAAATTTTTCAGAGATCCATAAAGCTAAAATATAATATAGGATCTGGCTACTGAAAAATTCTCAGATACTAAAAATCTAAAACTAACTCTTTAAAAAATTTTTTAGTCAATTTATGCTGGTGTTCCTTTGATTTGTATTCCATTAACTGGAGATCAAATTTATATTGCTTCAACTGTTGAGGAAAAAGGTGTTGGAATTTATTTGAATCATTCAGAGAATCATTTTATTCAAAATCTCTGGAACGCTCTTGTTCAAATATTACATGATGAGTATGGAAATTTCAATTTTAACAGTAAATATAGTGAGGCTGCTGAGAAGATGAGAAAGAACATTCTCCAAAATTATGAAGATGAAAAAATGAAAGACAAATTTTTGGGCAAATTTTAGGTGGTATATTTTTGTGAAAGAATTTTGGTAAGCAAACGAAGAAAGATTTTTTGAGAGAGTTTTGGAGTTTTAAATTGGTTAAAATTATTTTAAATTTATTTTAAAGGGGTTGCCGCAATTTTTAAAAGTACCTATTTTGTATTAAGAAAGGAAATTTTCTGTTAGTCCAATTTTTGGTCCCCCACTTTTCGACTTTGGGTCTCGGCCAAATAGTGGTTTATTTTAAGGAGAATTTTGGCAATTGTATTCTAAAATCTTTGACATTTAAATTAGAAAATAATTATCGGAAATTTCAAAAAAAATTTTGAAATAACAAAATTTTTATTCCTTGATATCCTGGTTCTGATAAAATTTAATTTTTATTAAATTTATTCAAAAGCGGCAACCCTTTATTTTTTTTTAAATTTATTTTTTTTGGGGGGATTTATTTAAAAAAACAAAAATTGAGAAAGAAGATTGATTATCCAATCAAAGATTTTGCACTCTCTTAAAGAGTGCCTTTTTATTATTTTATTTATTTTTTATTATCGGATATGTTTTTTTAACTGTAAATACTTCAGGAAAGGTTGTTGGATGTCTGTATTTTTTGTTTTAAATAAACACAAAGATCCTACTAAGGCTGGGACTGGTTACCCGAAACCAAGACTTTATTCTACTCGAAAACAGACTCGAGAAATTTTTGAAAACCCGATCAGAAACATGACTATATCTCTTAAGTCACCCCATCCCTGGATATTGGCGACATAAAAAATAAATTCACCAACCCAGAAGAACTTGTTTTGAAAATCTAATAGGCTAAATCCTCGATACCTACCGATCAAACACAACCTTCCCTGAATAATTTTTGATTGATTAACCGAGATTGATTATCCAATTGATAGATTTTGCACTCCGAGAGTGCCTGTTTATTTTTTTATTTAAATTTTTTATTATCGGATAAAGATATTTTTGGGAAAAAAAATTTGTTAAGTAATTTAATTATTTATAAAAAAAATTTTTTGAATTCAATTGACCAGAGAAATGTTTTTTCAAAAAAAAAATGAAAATTATTAATGATGTTTTAGCTAATTTATAGGAGGTAATTATCGAAAATAAGAAAAGATTCCTTCAAAAAATCGAACTATAAATTTATCATCGTTATCGAAATTTTTAAGATATCTCGTACTACTAACCCGATCTCTATTTAACATCCATCCTAATTTAATTGCATTAAAAAAACTAATTAATTTAATTTTATCAAGGCTGGGATAAATATTTCTTATAAAAAAATTAATAAAAAAAGAGTTGAAGCAAGATTATCTTTCATCCTTTCCCCTCATACTCTTGTCATCTTATCAATGTTTCTATTTCTTCCTTCTTTCCTTCAATATTGTTAACAGAAGCGGAAGAACTTGCCAAAGTGCCATAATCACTCGAATGTCTTGTAAAAGAAGATTTTTGGAGTTTTTGTGTTTCGTCTACAGAATTGCTATGTTGAAGAATTATTGTTTGGGAAGAAGAAAATTTTTCATTATAGGGAAGTATGGCATCTTCTTCTGGCCATTCTTTGTCTACTAGACAGTAACGGTTGGGGCGGAAATTGTGAAGCATAAAACGAATCTGAAGGAATTTTTTAAAATAAATATTGAGGTTAGGGAGAGGTTAGGGGGATGTATTTAGGTATATTTTTAGACTAAAATAGGCTTCCTCCTAATTCCGAATTCAATAATTTTTTATCTTCCTGAAAGTTCTAGAAAAGGGTAAATCCATTAAAGAATTATCAAAGATTGCTTTGAGGTTTCAGTTTCTAGTTGATATTAAATAGTGATGCTTGGGTATCCCGACTCCCGACTCAGGAAAAGTTCCCGAGTTTTTGGCCTCCCGACTCCCGAAATCATTCCCCGACCCGACTCCCGTTTCCCGGGTTTTTCGTCTCCCGAGCATCACTAATATTAAGCATTCGGGTCAGAATGGCAGTCCAAACGTAATGGAACCTTACATGAGGTATCTGGACTTTGTATCTCATTCTGTTAAAGAATTTGTCTCATAGCCCCTATCATTTATCAAGGCCGTATATTTAAATTGAATTTCCAAAGGGTATTCAGGCAAAAGTCTTAAGAGGATTGGTAGTGGTTAAGAAATGCCATAAATATCCATAAGCCCTCCATAAGCCCACCCCCTAAATACCATAAGCCCTCTTATAAGCGCCCAAAATTCGATCCATTTGACTTTACTGATATCATCAATTCAGATCTCCAGTCTATATCCCCTTAATTTTTTCAAAAAAAACTCACAAAGAAAGCCCCCAATGCAATCCCTGTCGCAGCACCACCAACAACATCAGTTAATCTGTGTTTGTGGTCTCTCACTCTCGAAAGGCAAACAAAATAGGCAAACAAAGCAATAAAGAATTGAGTAAAAGATTTTATTACAGCAGGGAATTTACACCGTTTTTGCATATAAAAAATCATGAAAGTGGCAAAGTTGCAGATGAATGCAGCGTGGCCAGAAGGAAAGGAGAAATATTCATTCTGAAAATTTTTATTTAAAAATTAAAATGACATGGGCCAAGCTAATGTTAATTTTATTATTAAATGTATATGAATATTATTTTGACAATCTCAAACAGAAATCTTGGTTATCAAGTATCAAAATTTTCACGATATCCATCTAGATTCTCTTACAACCCTTCTCGTCTGATCCCCAATTCTAACCATATTTACAAACCAAAATTTATATCTTACTCCTACGAACCCAGATAGTAACAGCTAGAGATCTGTAAAGATATCTACATCGATAATAAGATTTTTGTTCCGGTCTTTAATAAAGATTCCCGCTTATCTCTAGTAGGAGATTCAAAATAATCCCAATTAAAGACTTGCCTGATCAAAGAGACCATTAGTACATTCATAGTCTTGAATATATCCATATTCATCTGGAGGGCATAATCCACTCAGATTTTTAGGTTGGCAAACAGCCAAAAAGTTGGGCCTAAGTCTAGAACAAGTTCTCTTTCCCAAATTGCAAATTGAACTTGTTGAAAGTTTAGAACAGAGTTGGGCAGCTGAAGGAAAATAATTTTTCAAAAAAATTAAAAATTTCTTAGTTATTTTATTCATATATCTCTATCCTGGGGCCCAGTTTTAAAAAGGATTTAGGCAGTGATCGGAAATCTATTTCGATTGACAGCCCTAGTCTCTTCTCTCAGGGAGCAGGCCAATGTACCGCGAGCCCAACGTACCGCATAGTTATAACTCCGTTCAAATAGTCGAATCTGGGACGTCTTGGTATGGTTCTCTGCATCTCAACGAGCTGAATCAAACCATATCAGGGCGTCCCGGATTCGACCATTTTAAACAAAGTTATAGCTCTGCGGTACGTTGGCCTTGCGGTACGTTGGGGTGTACCTCTTCTCTCATATGGAGAGTCCTGATTAAGAGGACCCCTTTGCCGTATGAAAAAATATCATAGTTCCTTATTTTGCCATTTTTAGAGGTTTTTGAACTTTTAAATTTTGTTCTTAAAGACATCCTTTCAATAAATATTAAATTTATTTACCCAAAAAATACAAAGAATTAACAATCATAGGGTGCAAATGACCATTCCTTCGGTGCAATCTTTTATCAGTATGACGCCTTATTAAATGCCAAACTAGAGAAAATTCACTGGAAATGATCTTAAAGAAATTTAAAAAATTTTTAATAAGGGATTTTATAATTTACAATAATAGTCCCAACAATATTGGTTGTCCAATCCATGAAACCAGCCGATACAGTATCCGGCACATAGGGAAAACGAATTTCGTTGTCGTTGCAGAAGAATCCCTTAAATTGATAGGTAATCGAGGGTCTATTAAAAAGAGAAGCATCCTAAATGAGAAGGTATCGTTTAAGCAGCTACCCCAACGCAGTGGCAATAGAGATCGAGCTAGGCCTGGACCAAAGCCTGGGTTTTTCTGTACCGAGTCCAGGCCTAGGCCCAGGCTTTTCAAAAATCTTGATCTCTAGTGGCTATACAAATTTTTGAAAATTAAAAAATTAAATTGCGAAATACCCAATTCGGTGGGTACTTAAAAATGTAGTTCTGCTATAACGTGAAATACGTCATAAATAAAGTATAAAATATTTGCCCTATGAAAAAAAATTTTTTTTCGTGAAATACCTGCTTAGCATAGGGGGTTGAACGTGCCAAAGTTTTGAGTAGAACAAGTATTGGAAGGGACAAAAATAAATTAAAAACGTGTTGATAATTGGTGGGGTTAGGGGAATAATTTGATAAGGTTGAAGCACTTGAGGAGGCCATTTTTGGCAATTTTATCAAGAGAGATTTTTAATTAAAGTTAATTTTTATTTTTTTGTTGAAGAAAAAATAAATTTGAACTTTCTATAAAAAATTTAGAAAATCAGAATTTTTTATTTTTTAAATAATAAAAGGTGTGGGGTGATACTGGCAATATTAACAGTAAGGTGTGCTTGCGCGCTTATAAAATTCCAATAAGCGAAGCTAAAATCCTAAAAAATTTTCCGTAAATTTATCATCCTGTTAACCTATTCCTTCCAAAATTAAAGAAATTTCCCTTTCTTATTTTTAAAGTTACGGCCAAAAATTCCTAAGCGTTCTAAAAATGACGTGTTCTCGAACACATCTATTTTATTTACTATAACTTTATAAATAATGAAGCAAAAATTCTGAAATTTTCAGAACATTTAGATAACACAGTTAGAAAGGTCTAAGCAAAATTTCACGAATTTAGGTTCTCTATTGGGGGCTGTAGGGCCCATGGCGTAGCGTCACCTCGCCCTTAAACTGATTTAATTTAAATAAAAAATTAAGAAATGCAAAAATTAAAAATTAAAAAATTTAAAAGCAAATGTGCATGTTAAAGAAGATTTCTGAGTTTATAAATATAAAATATAAATTACAAAAAAGGGTATTTTGGCTAATAATTTATATATTTGGGTGCATTATTAAACCCACCTAAATATTTAACGTTAACTCCCACTCATTTTACTGCCCCTTTTTTTTGGGAGGGGAAGGGAGGTAACTCTCTTCTCAATTTCTTTATTACCTTTCCTTTCAACCCTTCCTTGTCTTAAAATTTCTTGGACATTTTAGAAATTTTCTTCACCAAATAAGCATTCCACACAACAAAACTAAAAACAGTTCTTTTCTTTTTTTGAATTTTGATAGACAAAATATTAATTAAATAAATAATTTTTTGGCAAGATTATTGTTTATATTTAAAATAATTTTTTGTATTTTGTAATTTTTAAAATTAAAAATGTATTTTATATTGAGAAATATTTTTGTGGAAAAATCAGTTTAAAATAAAATGCCGTATTACCTCTAATAGAGAGACCGTCTCTAATTGGACGGTAGTATTCAATAAAACGGCTCTTTAAGAGGGGATTGAAATATACGGGATGTGAAAGTAAAATATAGTCGAAACTTGATAAGGATAAGGAGGAGTAGGATGTGACGAGGGGAGGGGATGAGGATGAGTGTGAAGGTGAAGGGGAGGTTATGCCTAACAAGGGAGAGGCTTTTGGGTGTCCGTGAGACTTCGGGATGAAATTTGGTAGACTTGTAGAGCATACCCTTTCTATTGATAAAACGGCTCTTTGAGAGGGGATTGAAGTAGAAGAGCGGCCTGCCGCTCTATTAGAGAGAATACAGGATGTGAAAATAAAATATAGTCGGAACTAATCTTAAAATACTTCGATTATTAAGTAATTTCCTTTAAAGTTTCGCCAGGGTTTGGTTGGGGATGGAGTGAAGTGTAGGGGAGAAGGATATGGGATGGGATGAGGGATATGCTCTAAGCTTCCCTATAAAACTGATTTTAGTGTATGCTTTTTTTAGCCACAATGGTACACTATAACGAGCTTTAACAGTATTTTAAATTAAAAATCTAAAATATTAAAATATTTTTTAATTTTATTGAGAGAAGGTAATTTATTTAAAATAAATTTTAAGCAATTAATTAAAATTCAAAAATTAGTGATTATAAAATTGCTGATTTTAACAAAATGGTAGTGACAAGTATTCTTTAAATATTATTAAAAATAAAATTAAAAATATAAAAAATTATTGTGTGGCCAAAGTCTCTTTTCAAACTATAAATTTTTTAATTATGATTTGAATTACTTTTTCGTAGTTTCTAAATTGTGCTTAACCTATTTTTTAAATTTAACTTACGTAGTTTGAATTTTTATTTTACTTTTTGTAGTTTCAATATTTGTTTAGATCATTGGGTGATAAGCCCTTTTCGGAAAAATTATACTTAATTGTACTTGACAACAGGGATCGGCTGGGGTATGGACCAAGGCCTGGGTTTTTCCTGTACCCAGAATCCAGACCCAGGTATTTTTTGACCTTCCTAAGGTTTCCCTGGGCTTGGATTTTTCCTAGACTACAGGCCCCCCATGATCCAGCCGAGGTCAATAAATCAAACCCCAGTGTCCAGGAACAGGTCCAGGCCTTTCAAAAATTCTCATCTCTACTTGACAATATCAGAATTATAGTTAAAATTTACAAAAATTTTGTTCTAACCTTACATAAATTCACGTGAATTTTTCTAAAAATAATTTAGGGCTTCAAGGAAAAATTTTTTCTAAAATAATTTTGTTTTTGTTTTTATAGACATTAAAATGATAAAAATTAATCATTTAATGTTTAATATTTTAGTAGAAAAAAAGGAATGAATGACCTTCCAAATTCTTTGGAATATTTAAAAATTTCTTTGAAAAAAATTTATTTTCTTTATTTTGGAAATGGACAGTAAATTAAGTAAATTAAATTATTAATATATTTTTAGTTTATACTTTATTATCATTTTTGTCATGTTGGATGAAGAATGGAACGATTTTAAATAAAAAAAATTTGTTAAAACATTTAAACTCGGCTTTTTAAAATAAAAATTTTGTTTCTGGTTGTTAAGATTCAAGAATTTCCTTATGAAACAAGAGAGGGTGATCATCAGTGATAGAAAAATTCAAAATTTCTCTTGAACCGGTTCCAAACCTTTGCCGGTTCCAGTTTCGCACCAGTTCCGGAACAGAGACTGGAACCTTTACATCACTGGTGATCATACCATTTTTTTGCATCCGTATACTTCGGAGACTTCTCGCTCTCATTCCGGAATCATTGCAACCTAATCTGTCGTTTTCGTCTTTCTTCTATGAATTAACAAAGATTCAAATATGGATCACGTCGAGAAAGTCTCCACCTGTTTAGTTGATAAATCAAAATGAAGATAGTAAAAGTTCCATGGATCAGCATACTTCGGAGAGCTTTCAGGATAAATCGTATCAACTCCCCGGATAATCGTATCCACTTTCTGGGAAAGGGTTCATTGGATCGTATACTTCAAAAACCTCTCTCTCTCTTCCCGTGAGACAGAGAGATCATCCCTCCTTTTTAATTTTCCTTAGATTAAAAGAGCCCCATGGACAGTCGGGTACGTCTCTTAGGTCGATTAGTAAATCTGTGGTCCATCAGTGGTTCATGATCCATGGATCACTGATTGTTCCTTGAATAAAATAATCTCTTAGGTTGATCAAAATTTGAATAATTCAATTGTTAAAAACTTACAGACACTTCTAAATGACATATTAAAATAACAAACAAATCAATTAATTATTAAGGAATTATAAACTAAAATTCTTGAGCAGTTTTCCCCCTTTTTCCTTCCAAAATGCTTGTTTCCATCAATTTCCGCCACACTGATCGATGGTATTATTTATTTTTATGATTATTTCTCCATATACGTGAGAATATTGAACCAAAGTCTCTTCCTAATAATAAAATAAAATAAAAATAAAGCCAAATACAAACACAAAATCATCTCTCAAACCCCCCCTCCTCCCCCACCTTTTTACTGCCATTAAAAGCCATACAAAACTTTTTTTTATTTTTCTAGTACTTTTTCAATGTTGACAGTCGGTTACGTCCAGTCAGCTTTTTTAATACTTTTTAATACTAAAAGGAAAAAAAATATAAATTTTAGGACGGAAAAAAAGCGTTTTTTTGATGATAAATAAATGTCCCCTTTTTTCTTTGAATTTTTCTAAATTTTAAATTAAAATTATGGGACTGTAAATTTAATTTAAAATTTTTTGACAAAAATTTTCTAAAAATTTAATGACTGTCCAATTTTGCGACCTTAAAAGAAGTACCCAAATCCTGAAATATTTTAATTTCAAAAGATTAATCATAAAAATAGGCACATTTAAAAATCATCAAAACCGGCCAATTTATAAAAGATGCTTGGCCATATTCAATTTTTAGAACATAAATATAATCGTCTGTCTTAATTTATTTAATAAATTAATTCAATAACAAATTTTAAATCTAGTTCAAAAATAAATTGAAAAAATCAGAAATAAAATTCAGAATAAATTTTAGAACATTCCTTTTCAGATTTTTACTCTTCAGAACTAGTCCTAAAATTAAATAAATTATAATATTTGTACAAAATTGCTTTGATTATTATTACTATTTTATTATTCTTTTATTATTTTTATTTTATTTTTCTTCAAGAGATCATTGAAAAATACAATAATGGATACTCGGGAATCGAATAATAATGAAGAAGACGAGGACGGAAAAATAATAATAGAAGAAGAAAATATTGAAGGCAACAATTTTAGTGAATTTTCTGATAAGTTAATAATTAATAAAAATAAATAAAAAAAATATTTAAATAAATTATAAATTAAATTTATATAACTGGAACCATTCTTTCCTCTTAATTAAAATTTATGCTTTTTATTTTCTGCTCTCTAAAATTAGTTCTCTAACCTTATTTATTAGCATTAAATAAAGTTCATTTAAAAATCAGAAAAAAATCAGAATTTTGATAATATATAATTTCAGAAATTCTGATTTAAAAAAAATAAATAAAATCAGAATAAAAATTCTGGTAATGACTTTAAGGGTAAAACGGAATTCTGATTGCAAGAAAAAATCAGAAATCGAAATTCTGATTTCAAAAATAAATAGAATAAGAAAACCAGAATTCTAATTAAAAAAAATAAAATCAGAATTCTGTCTTGAACACCTTCTGAAGAATTAATGAAAATTCTGATGTAAGTATCAACTCTAAATTTAAATAAAATAATTTTTCAAAATCAGAATTTTATTTCAGAATTTTTCTCTTCTCAAAAGCAACAGAATTTTAATTTCTGATTCCTTTTTCAGCTAAATTATTTAATTATTAATTTCTTTATAATTTATAAATTATTTTCTTCTCTTGACCGTTCAAATATTTTTTATTTTTATTTTTAATTTGCTCATCCAATAACAAATCTTTTCCGAAAAATTATTGAGGTCTTAGAGAGTTCAAGTATTTGTGTTTATTTAATATAAAAAATTATTCTTTTTTTTGTGAATAGAAAATCTGCGAGAAAATTTGGGAAAAATAAGGGTGGTAGTCCATTTAGAATAAAAATATAATTTTTAAAATATTCTTACATTCTCTTCTTAAATTATTTATTAGAATTTAAATTTAAATTACAATTAGCTACCTCTTTAATAGAGAAAAGGGATGGGTAGGGTTATCTTAAATGGGAAAGCTCAAGTAGGCGCAAAGCCATAGCTTGCTTCAAGATTTCCGAATCTTTCAAAATTTAGTATTAAACTATTCCTCTCATCGAGCTAAAGAGATTCCTACCACAATTGTTAAGGTCCAGAAATTTTCCAGGTAATTATGGCCCTTGGCCGCGCGCCTACTTGGGTATGTCCCGCCTGAAATGATATCCGAACCTCAGAGACCCAACATTTTTTTCAACTCGATCCATCCCTAATAGTTGTATTTTCTGGTTAAATACTGGGATTTTAAGAATAAATCTGACAGGATTTATTTCGAGAATTGTTCGAGAATTTTAAAAGCGGCTTCCAAATCATTAAAAAAAATTTTTCTAGGGGATGGGTAACTTTTTAAAATAATTCAGGTTTCAATTAACATTAATTTTTGAAATTCCTTTTTAAATAAACAAAGGAAAATTGAAAACTTTTCTCAAAAAAGATAAGATCATAAATAGCTTCTTCCCTCTTAGATAACATTTTTTTCGTAGTTTCCGTTCGCTGCCCCAAATTCGCATTCAAATTATTTTTAATTTTAGCTTTATAGTTGTAATAGAAGCATAATAAATCCAGATAAAATAAGAAAGAAATTAATTTTAGAATAACTATTGATGAATTTAATTTATAGATCATCCCCTTGAAAATATAGTACAACAAAATTACCCCCCCCCCCGTGAGAATTTCTGTCATCGGGTTAGATAGTAGGCGCAGTTGGATTGGTATACCATGCGCATCGAACCATCATTTCCATGATGGTACTATACCATCCTGATTATCTAGTACATAACAGGGGTGTCACGGGTTACCCGATACTACCAGAAACCCGGACTTTTTCGACCCAAAACCCGACCCGAGAAATTTTTCAAAATCTGATCCGAAACCCGATCCCACTTTTTTCTGAACCCGAAACCCGATCCGAGATTTTTCTCAACCTGTGAATCCCTCGCATATACTTATATAATGTACATATTTGAATCATTCATGAATCTTTTGTACCTAAATATAGACTATATTTTTATTTAAAAAATTTTATTTAAAAAATTCCTAGAAATTTTTATATTTTTTTAGTGAATCTGAAAGAAGAATGAATAATCGAGAACATTCATCAAATAATGTTCAAACAAACGATGACGCAGAAATTTCAAATGTTGTTGCAACAACAGCAACTAATTCTCATTTAACTCCTTCTGAGGCAAACTTTTTCCAAGGCTTTATACGAATGGCGGTTGCTGTGTTTTTGGTCCTTATTTTAATTTATTAAATAGGATTATTTCTAAAATAATATTTAAAAATTACCCCCCCCCCATAATTTCCCCAATAAATAGTCAAAGATATGTCAGGTTCAAGGAAAGCCAGAGTCAATTTGTATCTCTAATATATACAGAGATTGAGGTTATTTGGCGGATATGGACTTCATATCTATATCTGCCCTATCCGTATCTGCCTTTTTTTCAACATTTCATATAACGGTTCTTGAGGTACGAATATCCCCCGGGTACAGCCCGAATAACGCGCGGCCATAAGGTTTTAACTTTTTTGGTACCAATCTCCTTATCTCGATGAGAGAAATCGTTTAATACTAAATTTGGAAAGATTCGTAAATCTTAAAGTAAGTTATGGCTTGGCGACCTTATGGCCGCGCGACTATTCGGGCGTGTCCCATCCACCCGTATCCTCAGATATCCAAGTGTATCCATATCCGTGAATTATCCAAATTCGTGAACTTGTTTAAAGATTTTTTATTAAAATAAGGGGGGAACACTTAGACTGTTGAAGAAATTTAAATAAAAAGCAAAAAGAGTATTCCATTTGTTGTCTCAATATCTTCTAGTGTCAGCCCCCTCAAGCACCTCTTTTCATCGTTTTAAGTGCGCACTAAGCAAAACACACACATACACAATGGCCAAAAATATAAAAATAAACATACCTGCCAGGTATTTTAAGAGAAAAAAAAATTTTTTCCTTTTCTCCATATATACACGTGCCTAGCACCAAACACAGCTTAAAATCTGTTGTTACTTGCTACATATTTTGCCTTTCATTTTCCTTTTTTATCTTTTTCCCTCTATTTTTATAAAAATATTTTTTATTGAATTAATTTGAAATAAAAAAATTTTTTTTTTAATTTTAAATATCATGCTTTAAAGTTCTTCAATCTTACCTTTAATATTGAGAGCAGGAATTAAATAATGAGAGCAATTGAAAAAAAATTTGCCACAGCTGCAATCCGCAACTCGCAATTTTAATTTTAAAATCCGCAATTGCGTGCAGCCTTGATTGAGAGCCGTGCTAAGGCTGGGGCTCCAAATCTTGGCTCCTGTTTCGACTCCAGGGTTTTCAAAATCTTAGCTTTGATTCCTACTCATGGGTGCTGGAGCTAGCTCCGGGAGCTCCCCCTCCAAATCTTGGGTCCTGTATCGACTCCAGGGTTTTCAAAATCTTGGCTCCAATTCCTACTTATTGGTGCTGTGTATGGCTGGGTATGGCTCAGCTAGCTCCCGGAACCATAACCTACCTTGATTGAGATCCTTCCCCCTCCCATTATTTTTCTAAAAAAATTTTCTCTTATCTTTTTTGTGTTTTTAACTTTTTCTTTTGTTTTATCATTCTTCTCTATCAACCCATTCTTTCTTTATTTAAAAATGGAGGGAGGTTGAAAAGAGGGAAGAAAAAAAAACAGATTAATCACTCCACAGGCTGATTAATTTCGCAACATTTTTCTTTCTTCTCTTCTCTATTATATTACCAGTCATCTCATAAATCATTTAAAAAACAATTTGAAATTCGAATACATATTCCTTTTTTATTTAGAATTTTTTATTTTACCCCTCCATCCAATACCGATATATTTATTTTTAAGAGTAGGCATTCTTTAAAAAATACAATGGTTTTTCCCTCATTTTGGGAGGGGTATTAAGATTAAGCTGGTGATTTTCTGATAAAGCCGAATCTTGTTAGGATGTTATAGGACGTTATATCTGAGGGTCAACCTTTGGAACCAAATTGTTGGAACCTCTTTCTTTGTAATAAAAAAAGAGGCACGATATCGGGAATATGTGATATCGAGACCCGAAAGTTGGGGAATTTGAGAGTTGCCTTGAAATTCTCCGCCCTCTCTGCCTCCCCGAAAATTTTCCTTGTGGCCTCCCTCCTCCCTCCCCGTTGGGCCCTAATATCGAGATTAAATAAATAAAAATCTGCCTCTTATTTTATCAACCATTGGAGAGGAATCTAATCAAGGGGGAGGAAGCCATCGGGCAGGAATGAGGGTCAGCCCTTGGAAACGAACCTCCGATGTTGTCACTGTTTTTGAGCTCCCAGGGATATGATAAAATAAAAAATAATTTTTTAATTTGACACAATATCCAATTTATAGTATCCTAATTTAATCGTCAAATTTAAAACAAATCGCGCATCATCTTAATGTCATTTTATGTTTCTTATTTACCGATTTTTGGTTTGTTCGGTCCTTGTACTAAAAATCTATTTATTTATTTTACCTACCAACTTGCTCATTTTATTTGTTTTACTGTTCAAATTAGCTTTCCCCTCATTTTTCTTTTTTTCCTCAATATTTACATCTGTTTACATGATGTACATAAATAAAAGAAATATTGACATATTTTAATTTACAAAAATATTTTTTTAATTCCTCAATAGTTTAATCCGTTTCTTATCTTCTTAGGACGTCTCCAAGCACGAGAAAGGGTCCTAAGAAGATAAGAATCGGATCTCTTGAAACCTTAGGTATTTAAAAAATAGGGGTACAGCAAGGGAAGGTATACTAAAAGTTAAGGTTTAACCCCGCCTGTCACGAATTGAACTTGCGATCTTCTGAAGCACTTTCTAGGCTTTTCCCTTATGTTTAGACCTGCAGAGGTTGAAGAGGAAGAGGAGGCCCTTGGCAGATGCTAGGCCATTGGGCTTTCGTTCTCTTTTGTCCTATTAGTTCGCTTAATCCCCGTACTAAACGTTCTAAATGCTTCCAGTTAATAAGACTGATAAGACAGATCTGTGATAAGTCCGCGATTTAGGTGTCTAAGAAAGAAATAGAAAAAAGGATTTAAAATTTTTCTTTCTTAAATTTGTGACTTGCGCAATCAATTAAACGACTCGCGCAGTCAAAATAAAATAAAAGAAAGAAAAGTTTTAATTCTTTAAGATAAAGAGTCAAGTAAAAGAATAGATCAAAACACATTTAAAATAATCGTTGATTTTATTATTGGCCCTAAGCCAAAAAAAAATTTTTGTAAAAATTTTAGGAGGGGAATTTTAGGAGGAAGGAAAAGGGAGAAATTTAATTGATAAATTTCTAGAACTGTCCCAGACCGAAAATTTTTCAGGACTCGAGACCAAGACACAAGCCTAAGACTACATCCCAAAATCAGAACTCAAGACCAAAACACAAGACCAAGACCGAAAAAACCCCAAGAAAATTCTTGGAATCAAGACTTAAGACCAAAAGTCTTGAGTTACAGCTAGCTCTATAAATTTCCCAATTTTCCAATTATTCTTTCTCTAATTAAAATTAATTTTTTTGCTATACCCATCTATATTTGCCTACCTATTTTTGGTAATCTTTAAGAAATTTTTTAAATTTTTCTTTTAATTCTAATTTTTCTCTTTATTTTTCTCCACGTTTTTACGTTTTACGCTCGGCTGGTCCTAAAATATATACTCCTTTCTTTAGTAAAATTCACCACCAAATTCCCCACACCTTCCTCTTTTCAATCCATTTTTGGTATGAATAAAAACGGAAAACCCTTTCTATTTTAACAATGCCTCTTTTATTTTAAAAAATCAAGAGAATCAATCTCTCCCATTTTCCCTCAAATAGAAACAAAAACAATTTATTTAAAAAAAAATAATAAAATTTTGTAAGGAGGGAAGACTCTCGACTTTTTTCTTAATTTTTTATTCCTTTTTTAAGACGTAAAAAATTTTTTTCTTTGGTCCTTATGTTCTCGAAAATATTAAGAAGAATTAACCAAAAAAATAATAATGTTACCTTAAATCCTTTAAGATAAGCCCCGGGGCTTATTATTTTTTGGGTGCCCTCTAGACTTTATTCTTAATTTCTTATTCCTTTTAAGGCGAAAAAAATTTTTCTTTGGTCCTAATATTTTCTACAATATTAGGAAAAGTTTACTAAAAAATAATAATAATCCTCTAGGTTAAGCCCTGGGGCTTATCTTTTTTCGAGCGCCCTCTAGAAGGGACTTATTTTAGAGTGGGCATATTTTTTCGTTGTCTAAATATTTTCAAAACTAAAATTTATTACCAAAATTAAATATCAATTTTCTAAAATTAATTAAAATTCATCCCATTCTAAAAGTCATTTACGGTAAGTATTTTTAAAATTTTAGTGACTCGATTCCGATTTATAATACAGCCCAGATCAGGCTTTATTATATCCAAGGGAGAGTTATACTAATAAACCAACCCCTTTTAGTACGATTATAATCAGAATCGAGTCTTTAGAAATTTTTTAAAGAAATTATCATTGTTTCTAGTAAGTTTTCTTTAAACCCGAGATTGCCCTAAACTCAATTCCGATTTATACCTCACGCCAAAAAGGGACTAGCTGGTCAGTAAAACTACTTACATCCATAAGAGTTTCACTCTTCCATTTTCTTTTGTTTTTTGTTATTTTTTAAGCTAGCTTTTATTGTTCTCATTTTCTTCTTAAA